CACTTCGTAGAAGTGATTACAATGAACTTCAGGTCACGTTCTTGAAGATGGAAAGTCTACATAACAAGGAAGTTTGTTAACATGATGTAAATCTACTAGATAAAAAAATTAAATCATTAGAACTACAATAAATTGCCATGAAAACAAAATACATGGATCTGTAGAGGCATGGAACAACAGCTTTAAGAATAATCATCTGCCTTATATTACTAACACTACCACCTTGAAACAGGTAAACTGCACGTCATTTTTTACTAGTTATTTCATTTAATCTCCAAGAAGAAATGGCCACAGTTCTGTAAAACTTGCTAGGAAGGTTCTTATTTTGAAAGATAAGCAGCTAGCACTTGAATACATAATATTCCTTGCATGTTCCACTCCCCCCCCCCCCCCCTCTCCTCGTTGCACCCCCCCCCCCCCCCCATCTTCAAAACATGGAGCCAAACCCAGGTTCTCACAAAAAGCCATCAGGTATCATGTTGCATTTCAAGAGAAACAAGATCTTTGAGCTAACACAATGTGCAATACTTGAAACACATTCATGATTCACTACAAGGAGCATTATTTTTGGCAATTTAGCTGCGTGACAGCTGTGTGTGCCAAGCTGGGAAGAGAATCATCACCTTCTTGCTTCTCCCAGTACAATTCCAGGCTGCATTTGATATTTACCCAGCTCACAAAAATTCAAGTAGGAGACTTGGAAAAGGTTCTGTAACAACGATCAAGACAGAAGCTTAGTTCTAATCAACACAGGAGCTTCTCTCCTAGCCCAGAGCATGAGAACTGCTTTGATATGGAGCATAATGTTCATTTCCCACTGCTGTTCATTATCTTCACACTTTCCTGGGGAAGATATACCTACTAGCACATGGGTACAGATAGCTGGAAGCAGACTTCTGAGCTCTGCACTGAATGCAACATCTCATATGGAAAATAAAAGAACAGTTCATAGAATTGTAATGCAAAAAAAATTTAATTTTTCAAAAAAATGTTCATGATACGGAAGGTCACAATACAAAGTTCTTAAACACAATACAACACTGAAACAAGTTGAAAAGCCTTTTTTGATTGGAAGTGATTGCTTAATACAAAGACTAGATGCCAACAATACTTTTTGTACAAAGTTTATGACAGTGGATTCGTATATTGATTCCCTGAAAATCCCCTCATTTTGAAGAAATATTGAATATTAAGGTCATGGCTGAAGTGAATTCAAGAAATTCAGAGTTATATTTGTCTCCACCCTCGATTCTAAGCACTAGGATTGGTTTTCACGGTACAAAATGGATAGTAAAGGCACACTGTGGTTTGAAAGCAAGGCTAGAGATTCTAGCCTTTAAACTTTCTGGCTTTTGTGTGGGTGTTTTATAAACACTCAAACATACAGTGAAAAAAATACAACCCTCTTGAGGGGGTGCAGAGTGAAAAAATAAAGTCTGCAAAAAGAAATGTAACGTATTTAACCTATAAAACAGTACTTATATTCTTATGCATTTCTTAGTGTTACCTCAAAGGATTTGAGGTTACACATTTTAGAAATTAAGTACCTTTCCAAAGTTATTTCTGTTATTTCACTCTGGCAGAACTAGCATAAAATACACATTTAAGATTATTGTTCACCTCCATCAGTTTTGTTGATTATGGAAAAGGACAGATGAACTGCTAAAAAGTTGAACTTATTGGCCAAACCAGTTACTTGCTTATTTAACTTTTTCAATACAGCTTTCCAATTTAGAAAAAAAGCTTTAAAAATGCTTGCTTAATCTTTTAAAAATTACTAGACTAAGTCTTACATGTCAAATTCTGGCATGAAGTGCTCTTCAATGTTAAGTTATAAAGTCCTGACACACCTGTTGCAATTATTAACAAAACTCTTGCCACAGGGGTGCAAATCATGTACTCTGCTTTAATCACATCTACCACACCTAGTTCTGTTTGTGAACCATGTCAATTCCTATGGAACTGTTATACAACTCAAAATTAGTCGAAAGTAGAGTTCGGAAGAGCTATATATGGACACTATGAAAGACTGTTCCAGCAGCACTGGTCTGCACATCAACACAACTAATCAGTTTACACTAAACATTTCTAGAACTACATAAAAAGTAATAGTTTTACCACATTTTGGTTCCCTGAGAAGAAAAGTGCTCTAACTACAAAGGTCTTTGGAATGCCATCAATAGAGTGAATAAAGATGCACCTCTTGCACTGCTACTGCAGAGGCATCTCCTACTTCCATGTTGATCAGACTTGGGTTTGGCATTTTCATTCAAAGTAAACCTTACTCTCCACAAAAGTGGCACTGGAATGGGAGCAAGGGATGACTAAAAGTAGTCTAGTACTAAAACTGGTTTATCTATAATCATCTGTTATTACCAACTGGAATGCATAGTTAGCACACTTGAACACAAAGTCATTAAGAGCACAGTTTACCTCACCTATTTAACCCATAATTGAGATTGGTTTTGAAAACTTTAATATAATACAAAAAGTTTTCAAATATGTTTTTGGAAAGCATGCTCTTTTTTCCCCAAGGGCATAACTTATACTTTTAGTGAACATGATGAACATCATGAGAGTTAAGACTTCAAATACAATAAAACAGCGCACAGCAGAAGAATGAAGTCAGGAACCATTTTATTTCCATCCAGTTTTGCAAGTATTAAGGATGGCATAAGAGGTCATTCCACCACTATAATTTATGTAATTATTACATCCCTAGAAGAGGCAAAGCTTATAATGCTTCCTGGTTTTCCCTCCCAAGTGCTTATAAGGTGTGTGATTATTTGGTTTGTTTTAATTGTGTCTTTCTGTCCCTATCTAATACAAACCCCCTTCATCCTCTCCCCAGCCACCAAAATACAGTAACTGGGTGTGGAGAAGCAGCACTGAGGCAGTCAGTAATGAGAAGTTATAAAAATGTTAAACAGTAACATACACTACACTAACACCTGGGATGCTCACAACATACAGAAGACAACTATGCAACTATATTGTGTTCCGTTTGCCATCATTATCTATGAAGATCAGTACTGTAAGATTTGTTGTCTAGTACATGCGCACAACGGTTACTCCAGATTCTTCTGATTCCTCTCAATTTCTAGGCAACAATTCATTTTGTGTTTACTATTTAAGACAAAATACTGAAACTAGTTTCACATATTATTGTCCAACTGGTTTTAATAGCAAGATTCAAGTGGCATCTTCCACAATTATAGAATTAATGCTCAGTACTTGTCAAAAGCTTTAAAAATTAAGGTACATTGAAAAATTACTTTCAGTATACCCCATGCAATTGAACTGCTCAAGTAGTTTAAACTTTAAACTCTTAATTTAACATATTCTAAGTTAGTGAAGAGTTCATATTTAGAAACTAATTCGAGACAGTTCTTAGACCTCATATGGCAGGAGATGAAGCTGTTTAAAATTATCACTATTCAACAGAAAAAATTCCCATAGGAAAAAAAGTATATACACTCTCACTATAGCCAGGCAATCAATTCTTCCATTTCAATACTATCATAAACATTTAACTGAATTATTTCAACCAGTAGAACCCAACCAACAATTCATATTTCAGATTTTTCAAACATATGATTACCTGTTAAAGGCTGTGTTTTTTGTTCAAATCTAAATAAATTTTTCTTTTCCAATACAATCAACTCAGTTCAATGCATTTAAGTTTAAGACTGATTTGTAAGCTGTTATCTCTCCTACACTTCACCTATACAGATCTTTAGAGAGATATTAAGCAAAAGGCTTTAGAATGCAATGATGCAGAGTTTCATTTTAAACTTAGCACTTATCTGAGCATGTCTGCAAACGCTCTCGTACACGAGATGGAAGTGTTTTTAACAACCTTTCTTCAGCAGGAAGTGATTCCAGATAGTTTCCAATGAGCTCTAATTGAACAAGATTCAGTAGCTGACCCACACAAGGGGACAAATTCATCAGACTGTTATTTCCCAGAAGAAGAAACTGCAGCTTTTTGCACTGAAATAATCCATCAGGCAGCATTTCAATCTAGATAAAGGAAAGAAAAGAACAAAAATAACATACATTAGAAGTTGTTAGCCTACATGCAGCTGCATGTTTTGACATTCCCCGGTTTTATTTTAGGGCAAAAAAACCTCTTAAGTTTATGGAAGGATAAGGAAAGGGAAGATTGTAATGCTTCTAACATTATGCAATAAAGTGCTTGAGAACACCACAATGTTTTTATATACCTGTTTTGTTATGAAGATGCTTAGCTGCTGGCAGAAGTCAAGACATAAGCATGGCAGGGGGGAGTGTATACATGTGTGCATGCACAGAAGTGCATACAAACATGTGCAGGTGGCAGGGGAGATAAATAAGCTATTGTCTCCTAAGAATCACTTAATGAAGAACAAGCACAAATTGTGGAGAGACATTAGCAGCTCCTGTGTTGTGAAGCCTGTACAAGCAGTTATCTGTGCAGTACAGTAGTAACTTAGTCCTAGTCCACACTACTGACATATAACATTCAAAACCAACCTCACCAGTGAAAACAATTATAAACCTCATTAAAAGCAGTCTTAAGCCACAAGCCTGGACCCCACACAGACAGTTTAGCACTGCTGATGAAGTTACCAGCTATTATTATTTCCCTCTTCCCAATCAGGCAGCTTGAGCTGCTCATCAGCTAGCTGTTGATTCAGTACAGCTTTCAGTTTGACATTTTAAAGGTAAAAATTTAACACTGTTCACTTCCATTAAAATACTACATAGGATAGACAGCTGCAGGGAAAGGGAAGATACATTTCTGCAGTCATCCTAACCTATACTGTCTCTGGATCAGAGCCCTTAAGCTGCTACAGACCAGGCTAGTACTTACTCAGTCTTACACAAGCTTTGATGACACCGAAGTTTTAGTAATTAAACAAGCACCACCCCTTTTTTCAGCTTTACTGGGTTTACTTTAATCATGAACACCACAGCATTTTGAACCAGAGCCGGTTCCAGAAGAAATGGTAGGTTAAGTCAATATTTGATTTTTTTTTTTAAGTAGTAATTCAAAGTTCTACTTACATGGTTTTTTGTCAAAGCCAAGTACTGCAGATTGGTCAGATAACCGATTTCTTCAGGGATGGAGGTTAGCTTATTATAGCTAAGATCCAAATAGTGTAATTTTTTACAAAGAAATAGCTGCAATGGAACATTTTTGATATTATTATAATTTAGATACAATTGTTCCAGGTTTGATAACGCACCAATCTGCACTGGGACATATGAAATACTGTTGTGCCACAATTTTAAGCAAGAAAGGTTCTTAAGATGTTGAAAACTAATTATTTCTTCCACTGTTCTGAGATTATTTTCTTTTAAGTCAATTTCATGCAAATTGTTTAGGGTAAAAATGGAATGGGGAATGCGCTCTAAATCACAGCAGATTAATTCCAAGGTTCTCAGGTTTATCAGCTTCTTCAGGTTATTTAGCACTATCAGTTTATTTCCCTCATTATTGATAGACAAGTGTTGTAAAGAAGGCAGAAGATCTGTAACCACTTGAGGTATACGGGAAAGGTTGTTTTTTAAGTGAATTGATCTCAGATTTTTTAGCCCCTGAAAGCTTTCGTTGTATATGGAGTTGTGATGATCTAGCATGAAATATCCTGTTAAGCACAATTCCTGTAGGTTTTTTAGATGAAAGACCCAAAACGGAATTCTTCCCATCTCACTAGATTTCAGGCGCAATGTTTTCAGATTTTCTTCTAGAAAGCTGACTGCTGGGTAATCCATAGTTAGTGATGAATGATAAACATTCAGTTCTTTGAGATTGACTAGCTGGGTCACAGCTGAAGGAAGTTTGGCTTCAGGAATAAGTTCCAGGCTGAGGACTTCTATTTCTGTCAGTTCAAAGACACTGTCTGGAAGACCATTTAACATGAAAAGGTGAAGCTCAATCTTGTCTTGGGAATTTCTTACTAGTTTGTTTTTCAGTTTTTCCACTGACCATTCATTGTTAAGATTTATCTGTTTCAGTTTGTTTTCACTCAAATCAGACAGGAATATTGAGAATCGCTGGGAATAAAGAGGATCATACTGATCTGCCAAGTGGAGAATAAATGCAAAGTCATTCTTTACATCAGGTATGTCACTGTAGTTACTTTTCTCTCTCAGCTTCTCAAAGGAATATTGCTTAAGTGAACTTCTTAACATCCACCACAAACTATAAGTACAAGTTAAGCCATAGAAGATCACTAAAACAACATAAAATGAAGCCAAAACTTTAAAAATTTCTGCTAGCGAATAAACACACTGGTACCTTTTGTAGCCTGTAAAGGCTTGAACATTCACTACACAATCAATTTCAAGTGTAATAAATGATAAATAGTAGGGGACATAAATTATTATTATTACAAATACAATGACTTTCACTATAATCTGTTTCATATACACTGTATATATGACATCCTTCTCTTCAACGTGTACTCTGAATTTCTTCACTTTTTCAAATATAGCTTTAGCTTGTTCCCCTTCTTTTTTGTCAAGAACACTTGAGGAATTTTCTCTTCCAGTTGTTTCCAAGCCAGGTTGCGAATATGGCAGGGACTGTCTGCTGGCCCCTAAATCTACTGAACTCCCAGGTGATGAAATCACTGCTTTTGATTTGGCTATTGGCAACTTCCTCACAGACTGCTCGGCAACTGTTTCTGAGAGGGCACGCGTTGTCCATGGAGAATCAAAGCACTTCTGAAGAATGGCTACAAAGTGCTCAAGCCTGGAACTTGTACTAGGGTAGTAGAGCCAGAAATTACTGCAAGCTGCAAAAATAAAGGTGTGCAGAAGCACTAGGTATGGAAAAAATTTGGCAAACCAGTGAAGCTGTCTCTCATAACATACTGCATCAATATAGGAATACTGCTGCCGATGAAGATCATTCTGGATTTTAAGCGGGATGATTATCTGTGCTGTAGAGCTCGCCGACATGTTAAGATTGGCTTTAACTAAATCCCAAGGCACGGCACAATGATTGTCAAATTCTAGCTTGCAAGGAAGACAACACAATACTCTGGTTTGAGTAAGCTGGAGAGCCCCAGCGAGCACAGCAACTAGCAGCATTATCATGGTGAGGTAATACCAGAAGACATCCCACCATGGTTTTAGTATGTGGTAGGATGACTGGGCATCTGCTAAGTATTTGAGTTCTGTTAGCGTGATCATGACTTTCACCTGTGAGAGAACAGCAGCTGGTAGAGGAAAAAAGAAAAAGACATCCTTAGAGAATTGTTAAAAACAATTTATCTCACAATTGAACACTTGAAGCTTATCACTGTTTTCACAGTTTTAAATGTGTAACATTTGGCCTAGCATCCAGAGCATAGCAAAGGGATCCAAGAACTCCTGGCACCTAACCCTAGCCATCATCTTATTTATTTTAAGGAAAATTACTTGGAATGCAAAAATTTGAAGAGTGCAACTAGTATCAGAGATTAGGAGAAAGTATATTTTGACCAAATATTTGGGCACTGTCCGAGTAGAAGGAATAATGAGGTATAAGTTCAAGTGCCTGATATATTACTAGCAGTCCTTCACTACTGTCCTAAACTTATGTAGCAGAAGTGATTTCTCATTTATGAAGACTTCTGAAATCAGAGCAATGTATCAACATAGTGGCTCTTGTAATTTAGAATTTTCTACTAGATTAAATCATTCTACCCAATTAAATAATAAAGAATACATAAAAATTCTCAAAAGAACAGTTTTGCATTACATATTCTTATATATAATTCCCCATCTTCTCCCACCAAGGAAATTAAGCATACTGATAGAATAAAAATGAAGCTAACACAACTTGTTATTGTCCAATATTGTCATATATATAAAAATGGCACACTTAACCCCCAGCAGCATAGGTTTGATTCATACTTACTTTACTAATTAAAGAGAATAAGATACACAGCACTGCTCAGTCAGGAGGTCTACACCTTTTAAAATTCCTTGGACATGCCATCTTTACATTTGTCTTCATTCTGGATGGAGAAAACATCAAATATACTTTATTTTTAATGGCTTCACCTAAATAAAGAGCAAACATTTCAGCTTTCATTAGAACTGCTGCCTTATCGCAGACATCAGGATCCATTAAGCTCTGCATTGCTACAGCTACATGAAATGGAATAGAACATACTCAGACATGATCATGTAGAATGTGAAGTCAAAGTTTTGCACAGCCACATCAACACAAAAAACAGGAAACTGCCTACAGCTAGCCCTATTTCAACTGGGAAGTAATTCTTTTTTGCCAAATAACTATGTAAAAATAAATTACGCAACATTCTTCAAGAAGTAGAATTCAGTCATAATTTTGATATACCAAGGTTTGGCAGAAAGGCAAGTTTCTCAAAAACAGAGGCATGTATTTTACATCCTGAAACAAATTAATAAACTATCCAGTGTCAATGGCAATACCACAGACATTACCGGCTTTGGAGAAAATTTACTATAAAGTTTAATCAGTACAGATACAAAGCAATGGGGATGTTCTGTATTTTACTTAATCATAAAATAGTTTAGGTTGGAAAAGACTCTTAAGATCATCAAGTCCAACTGTTACCCTAGCGCTGCCAAGTCTACCACTAAACCACATCCCTAAGCACCACATCTACCTGTCTTTTAATACCTCCCGGGATGGGGACTCAACCACTTCCCTGGGCAGCCTGTTCCAGTGCTTGACAGCCCTTTCAGGGAAGAAACTTTTCCTAATATCCAACCTAAACCTCCCCCAGAGCAACTTGAGGCCATTTCCTCTTGCCCTATTGCTTGTTACTTGGGAGAAGAGACCAACCCCCACCTCACTACAGCCTCCTTTCAGGTAGTTGTAGAGAGCAATAAGGTCTCCCCTCAGCCTCCTCTTCTCCAGGCTAAACAACCCCAGCTCCCTCAGCCGCTCCTCACAAGACTTGTGCTCTAGACCCTTCACCAGCTTCATTGCCCTTCTCTGGGCACACTCCAGCACCTCAATGTCCTTCTTGTAGTGAGGGGCCCAAAATTGAACGCCGTATTCAAGGTGCAGCCTCGCCAGTGCCAAGTACAGGGGGACGATCACTCCCCTAGTCCTGCTGGCCACACTATTTCTGATACAAGCCAGGATGCTACTGGCCTTCTTGGCTACCTGGGCACACTGCTGGCTCATATTCATAATATATTGTACTGGACATTTCAATTCCAAACAGAGCTGACAAGCTGTTATAAAAAAACCCAAACAGCTGAACTAAGGCAGAACTTTGTTCTTACTCCACATTCACATTTGAAGGGAGAAGAGTGGCTGAAAATAAGTTAACCCTTCTTGCACTGACAAGACTACTTTTAATAGAACGTAGAAACTTACCAGGCCCACTCAAGGGAAAGCAGCTGAAGAAAGACAGGATGGTTATAGTACAGTCCTGGAAAGAAAATAAATTGTCATCAGATCATGAAATATTGGGACTCCGATAACTGTAGTAGAACAACAGCTCATTACTCCTTCCACAGCAGTGTTTTAAAGATCCAAAATTTAATGAGCAAAAGATCATTTAAGAAGAGCAAAAGAATAATTTAAGATGTGTCCCCCCCATCAAATTATTTACTTGGTCACCATCCAAATGTTGCTTTTCCTAAAGTAGAAAAAGTAATGGCCCTTGTCATTGTCCCCTTTTAAGCACTAAAAGCCATTTAAGCTCAACAGTTTTGGCATTTACATAAAGTTACTAGTCCTGCAGCTGAGATGCTCTAACCATAGCTAAGGAATAGCAATTTCTTCAGTCACTCCAGCTCAACTTGCAAAAAATACATTAGTAAATACCTTTAAAATGAGTTCTTTTGGTATAAATCTTTGGGGTTTGAATATAAATTCCTAGGTGTAAAAGCACAAAGAGGTATAAACCCATACAAACGAAGGCTTTCATTCTGCAAAGAATATCTGGATCGTGTCTCAACTTAAGCCAAACATGCTTGATTTGGATGTAGACAGAAAAGTCAATCGTGTTTTTTCATTTCCAATGTAGAATTAAAACCAGTCAATTCTTCTCACTTGAGCTTTGTTACAAAAATGAAAGACTTGGGACCCCTGTTAAAGTTGTAAAGAACATGCTAAGAGATAAATAGCTTGAATGATTCAACAAAGTAAGAGCAAAAGGTATAAATAGCATATTTTTAACAAAAAAAACCATTTAAAAGTCAAAATGATCACTGAACTGGCTGAGAGTTTAAAACGGTATGAAAGGTCTAATTAGCAAGAAGATGGGAACAATTCTTTTCCTGACAAACATGTGAACCTCATCAGGGACTTGGGCAGATACTAACATTTTAAAATGTTGTTTTATATAACTAAGTGCTTATTAGACAAAGTTACAAGCAACACAATTTAATAATGCACCTATGTACTTTGCACTTTTATACAAAGAACACCACTCTCCTGGTAACGGACCTATTTTGGGGAATAAGCAAGGCTCTTGTTGAGTATAAGGGACAGAATTCAGAGTACAATAAAACAGTTAACACTTTGATAAAGTACTTTCTCCAAAAGTTATAGAAAGAAAAACAGAAAATGGAACTGAAGCCAATTCTATTAAAAACATATTGGTATACTTGAGAATATGCATAACCCAATACACCTTCTTCAAGCAATGCCATAATGCTCAAACAAAAAGTGGTTTGTTTTTATACAGATTGAGAACTCAAAGTGAGACTGACCCATGTAATTTTGTAAGGTCTGTTTCTATAAAATGCTTTCTTTGTCACCTCCCTGCCTGGAACTGGAAAGTCGTTAGTCCTCATCACATATGCCAGAAAAAAGGCTACATTCTTGCTGTGGTTTTAGAACACTTTCTAGCAGAAAGCAAGCGTCACAATATTAAATATTTAAATACTTGAACTCTGGTCTTGTTAATGACTACTTTTTGAAACCTTCCAGTGAAGCATGCGCATTCGTTACAATTCTGTGTATATGAAATAAAGCTTCCTATTAGAGAAGTACACAGTATATACAAGTGTAATACGAACATGTGAATTATTAATGATAGTTCTGCTAAAGACAGTTTTCTTTCAAATCCTATCTGTATGCCAAGTGACTAATCAAATGGAATAATGCTGAACTGTAATGGGTTTGATAAATCTCATCTCCAGCAGCTTTCAACCAATATCAAAGCCATAAAAGCTTTTCAAAGTGGCCTAATTCAATTGGCAATCTTTCTTAGAAGACAAAAGACAGAAGTTTACCCCCAGGCTAAGTGATGACTTCAGGAGAGTTACCCCAGACCAGTACTGGGACACAGGCCAGAAAAATAAAGATCAGCAATATCTAGGCAATTTTTAGTTACTTCAAGACTTACAAATCTGATCAGTAGAAACATATCCAGAATACAAATAAAAAGCTATAATTTTGAAAAATATTATCTATAAATATCAGACAGCCCCCACCCTCCCCTGCTGCCAAAAGGTTACTTAACATTGCATTACTCTGTCATTTGGTCACAGCTTACATAATTTTAGGCACATTTAGTTAGGGATGGCTCTGCAGCAAAATAAGTGCCTTGCTTGTTCTCCCCAAAGGATAATGGGCTACAAAAAGCCAATACCTGACAGGAGGTTTTGTTTTATTTTTAAGGCTACACTGGTTTTGTTGATGGTTGAAGTATTCAACTGGTGTTTCTGACACACTAAGTTAACCAAAATAGATTTATACAAATAAGGCATACCTTGACAGGTATTCCAGTAGCCCCTCTATCTTGCTTTTTTCCCCCCCTCTCCCTCAGAGAAACACAGCCATCAAGTTTTCAGCCAGTCTCTTTAGAGTCATATGATATTCCAACAGCATGATATTCTTCTCAACTGAGATAAGGAGATGCTGACATACTAAAGTAAATGTGTCTGTTTTATCAATTTTCTATCAAACTTGCTTCCTGAACTGCAGAACCAACTTAGCTTCTAGCTAGTTTAAGCGTATCACTTTTTCTTCCAAAGTTTTGCATCCAAAAAATTAAGTTCAATAATAAACTAAACATGCAATCAATTTTGCTAACAGGCAGTTTTGAGACTCTCCTATGGGATCCCTAGTACTTGCTTATGGTCTCACATGCACGGCCTGAACCTCCACTCACAAATAAGCCCTCATGAATATTCCCAAAGGAAAAAAAAGTAACAAACTTTACCCCCCCCCCCCCCCCCACCCCCCCCCCAAAACCAACTTTTTTCCGCCTTAAACTTCCCCCCCGCCATGGAGAACTGCAGCGTAAAGCCGCCAGGCAGGGCCCTGCTTTCCTTGCTGGAGCACACGCGTGTGTGTGCACATGTGTGTGCATGCGTGTGCAAACACAGCGGGGC